TGCTGTAGCATAGGAAGGAACTGCAGATTGCAGATAGTGATTGCACAGTCACTTGAAGTGCAGCTTACTAAGAACAAGCTTAAAATAATCTTTTCTTGGTCAGGGTATTTTTCATCAAGTCCACTTCCCATCATGGCAAAGCAGTTATTTCTGTAATCTTACAGCTACAAGCATTTTCAGTAAAACCTTTCATTGTGCAGAAATAAAGTAGCATGTGCTATGTTTTCTTCAAGGAAAGCTTGCATGGACTAGAGGTTGTTCAGGGATTTTCTTTAGGCTTTGATTTTTTTTCACACTGTGGTTTCACTGAATTGTGCAAGCAGAGTAGGTGTTCCTGTAATAGTGGGCACAAATCTCTCTGATTTTACAAATGAGTTATGCAACTCTGTGCACAAGAATAATAAAAATAAAATCTGTGCTTTTCAGTAACACAGCATTTAGTTTGCCTGTAATCACATGGCAATCACCTGTGCATGTATGTGTGTAAAGAATTACCAGTCCACAGCTCCATTTGTCATCTAGTGATATGTTCATGGTTTATTAATGTATGTAAAAAGCTAGAGTAGGGGTGGAACAGTAAGAGCACAGATCACTGCTAAATAAATACACATCCCTCTAGCAGATGCTGTGCAGTTCTGGCAGTTATTTTGCCTCTGGTCACAGCACATTTAGCCTTAGAAAATTGCCAAGTATTTGCTCTGTGATTTTCTTATAAGGCAACTTTTATATTTTCACAGGAAAAGGCAAGACCTGTCGCTGTGTTGTCATCTTCAGAGTATAGGAGACGCATAAATAAGCCCTTAGAGCAGCCAATCAGAGATCATGCAAGGATCAATCACCTGCAGGCAGAATTCTATGAGAAAAATGGCATCACCTGCTTATCAGCAAGACCTTCTTCAAACCTAGATCCATGTTAAATCTCTTGTATCTGTCATTGCCAGCAACATTTATGTGGAAACCCCCCCCCACACTTCACATCAAAAAGCAATATGGTCCTTTTGCCTTTTCCTCTACATTTTAGTTAATGACAATTATCTGCACTAAAAATAGGAAATAGCAGCTGTACTTTTGCTCATGCTAATTCAAATGCATGTCTTCTTAACAGTCTCATAAAAATCTCATGAAGAGCAGCAACAAGAAGAGCTGAACATTTTAGGCAGCAACACTGGAAGTAAGACCTGTTGGGTCAAAAGCTCTCTTTGCAATTCTAGGCAGTGCTTCTACATAACTCTTCACTGGTTTAACACTTAGGCTAGCTTGGTCCCCAAGGTATCCTTGGTTGTGGACTTATTAAACCCTTACAGTGTAGCTACAGAATTATGAACTGTCATTTTATCTCCACAACAGCTGAAATGAAGATTTGACTCAAAATTTTCTAAAATGATGGGCCTACTCATAAATGGGCAAATAAAGAAATGCTCTGACTTCCAGAAGTGCCCAGCAGTTTCAGTAGACTTCAAGTGGAAGTCAAGTTAGAAGGAACTTCTGAGCACTTAGCATTTGAATAGAAGAAATCTGAGTTTAGCTGATTTCAGACATTCATTTCACTGACTTTCACAACACAAATGGTGTCTGACAGACTGATCTGACAAGAAAAATCATCATTGGTTCTCTATCCAATGCTGAAAAAAAAGAAAAAAATAGTAATATTAGCAGAAAAAGCACTAAATAGTTTGGTGGAAAGGATGGAAAAACTTAAGGATTTGAGCAGTATTCATTTTAAAAGCATGTTTCAAGCAAATGCCTAAACCTGCTTAAACATTTAATGCCTTTTATTCTCACTGAATCAGGTACTAAAGTTTTAAGGTTACTTTCAGGAGGAGTTTCTTCTGCAGGGTATGTATCAGTTTGGCTCTCAAGAGCCACTGATCCTGCTGTTGTTTAAAGCTGAGGCAGTATTGTTCAGAAAGGAACAGCCAGACTGATCATACCAGAACAAGGACTGGAAGCCCACAGCTTTGGCTGACACTGGTTTTATACACGAGAAACGTGTCATTTGTGAACTCAGTGAGATTACCAGTAAAAAAATAACAGAACCCAAAATTTCTTAATCTGGGACCTGGGTAAGTAGTAAATTAGGTGATCAGTAGCACTTGTTTGGCATGATGTGAGAAGCAGAACACACAGAGCAGCCAATTTCGAGAGGTGTTTGCTGCTTTCATTATTCATGACCTGCAAATTCCTCTGTAATCAGTGGGCTAGGGACAAGGAGACATTAACTGCTACATTCCTTTTCAACAATAAGTACTTCATTAAGCAAATCCAGTGGCATTAAATGAAAGGAATCACAGTAAGAACAAAGTAAGAAGGAAATGTTTTTCTAACAATACCAGAATACTTTTTAAAAAATCAGTATCAAATGTATACCAGCGAAGAATGAGATGGAATATGCCATATTCCTGGCAGGTTATTTTTAGTTTGGGACACTCAGTACAAATTACTTAAGTAGCCTAACTACATCTACAAACCATCTGCTTGAAAAAAAACAAACTATGGAAATCAAATTTGTTTGAGAACATCACCACCTGCTGGCCCGTGTGGGAAATAGGCATCAACAGTTCATCAAAACACCAGTTTGAGTTTTCCTGTCTCATTTCTTCGCTTATGTCACACCCTTCTCATCCCTTCTCACTTTTGAAGGCCTTTCACAGGTTGTTCCTCCTACTACTTTTTGCTCATTCACTTCTGAGTGGTTGACTTTTCCCTTCAGTGCTCAGTGTCAAAAGAATACCTTGACAATTTCTCCTGTATGAGACTAAGTTCCTTATAAATGCCTGCAAAGCCATTTCAGCCATTGTCCTTCAATTTCTCTTTTGCTAGGATGACAAACTCTTGGGTTACTGATGTCCTGAGCTTACTGTTACAATATTGGAAAGCATCTCATCATCCAGGTGCTCCCTCACCTGAAATACTGCGTGCAGCTCTCATAAGGACATGGAACTGTTGGAGCAAGTTCAGAGGTGGCCACGAAGTTGATAAGAGAATTGGAGCATCTCCCCTATGAGGACAGGCTGAGGAAGTTGGAGCTATTCAGCCTGGAGAAGAGAAGGTTGCATGGAAGCCTCATAGCAACCTTCCAGTATATTAAAGGTCTACAGAGGAGCTGGAGAGGGGACTCCCTGTTAGGAACTGCAGTGACAAGACAAGGAGTAAGGGGTTCAAACTGAAGGAGGGGAAATTTAGGTTAGATATTAGGAAGAAGTCTTTTACTGTGAAGGTGGTGAGACACTGGAACAGGTTGCCCAGGGAGATATCAGATGGCTCAACCCCAGTAGTATTAAAAACCAGGCTGGATGAGGCCTTGAGCATCCTGGTCTAGTGGGAAGTTGTCCCTGCCCATGGCAGTGGGGTTTGGGATTAGATGATCTCTAAGGTCCATTCCAACCCATTCTATGATTCCCTCACCTGTCAGTGTTGACATACTACTGTAAGGGCTTTATACATACAAGAAATTAGCATGAACAGGAAGCACAGCATGATGCAACGCAAATCATGTTTTGCATCTGGGTTTTGCATCCAATAATCTCTAGGGATTGTTGGGACAATTGACAGACACCTGTAACTCACCAATTAATAACAGTAGCCTTGGAAGGAAAAAATGGCCATGTTCTGCATCTGTTGGTAAAATATACAGAACTTCAATGATGTAAAAGTTACACTTTTGTATCAAAATGTAACAGTTAAAATCAAACGGGGTGATGCTAGGAATTCTGCTTTGCTACTCATAAATAGTAATTGCATCCAGGAGAGGATGCACAAGCTAACCTGAAAATGTGTTTTACATGGCAGTTCATCAAGTATGCATTATATGACCAGAACTAAGGCTATCTTGTTTTCCTTTCATCCATCTGCAAAGCAACACATTCACCCCAGTTAGGGCATGCTCGTTCTGGCTGAAGTGGGTGCTGGTTCTGGTTCTCAGTTCCAGAATTCCTACTCATACATAAAAAGGAGTGCCATAGCACATAGCTCTTCTGAGCTTCAGAGCACAGAGTTTCTGTAAACTGAAGGCACTCCAGAGTACACATGTGACCCCGTTTAGAAGTTTAGCTAAAACTGCCACCAAAGATGAAACTACAAAGAGAATATACCCAGAACATTGGGTGGCCCCACAGAGACAGCTGTGCAAGTCCATTACCCTGTGGCAGCTGTCACTTTACAGAGTAAAGCACATCTCATTTTCTGCCAGGCATTGCTATTTACTGAACAGCACTCTACAGCTCTTAAATAAGAGCAATAAGCCAATAGTGCTGTTGTAACTACTGCAGATTTGTTTTATGAAACACTTGGGAAATTACACAAACAGCTATAAGTAAATTGTGCAATTTCTTCTTAGACTGTCAACAAAAGCCCTGACTAGTAGGTAGCATGGCATATTCTGCACATTCAGACTGGCCAGAATCCTTGGATAGTCACATGTGTCTGTCCAGTTGTGAACTAGAACCAGTGAAAATACCTGGGAAAGGCAGCACTGACTGTCTGGCACTTACATCTGTCAACTTAGAATAAATATTGACACAAAACTTAAGAAAATATGATGCTCTTTATTACTTTTTATACATCAATTTTTCCAAATATTGGAAGGTTTTGCATTCAGAGGCTCAAATTATCTGAAGTGGAGTTATTTAGAAAACAGAATTCTTCTTCCATGCACAGTATTTACACTTGGCAGTATAGGAGGTTGACATGTGGTTCAGTGATATTCTTCAGTGTCAGTTGCAGAGTCCATATGTATGAGGAAAAATTTTTTTGTGTAGATATTCTGCCATCTTTCTGCAATTCTGGAGATTCTGTACCTCAAAAAATGGAATCTGGAAACAAAACAAAAACGTTTGCTGGAAATACCTTTTAATAGACAACTGGGTAAGACTGATGTTCATCAAGCAGACACAAAATTACACAGCAAATATTTTTCTGATTTAAATTTAAACATTTAATCCTAAGTGTATTACTGATCTGTAAACCATCTGAATAGAGACTATGATTAAAACAAAGAGTGATATCCATTACACTTTAAACTTAGTTAAATATTATGAAGTTAGGCTTATGTAATGAGTGATTATAAATGGAAAAAAATAAAACTAAACATTAACAGTTTTCATCCAAAGGATGTTTAAACATAAAAACACTCCTATTAATTCAACAGGTTAAATAAAAGATATACTCTGTTGTGAAAATATTATTTACAATACAAAGCAGCTTCCTTTTATTAAAGTCTTCTTTTTAAACTCCAAATTCAAACCTTTCTGAAGAGTATTTAAGTAAAAATGCCAGTCCTATTGCACTCTTATACAACATTTTCCTTCAAGTCAAGATTTGAATCTTAATCACCGTAGAGAAGTACATTTCAAGCAGCCACTGTTTGGCAGAAATCACAGACAAAAATACAATAATTGATCCAATGAAGAAAAAGGAATTTCTGTACACCCTCCAAAAGGCAGAGAGAACAGAATATAGAAAGGACAAGACTACATCTGCCTTAGGAATGAATTGAAACTACAGTTCTAAGCATTGTAAAATAGTTCTTTACTTGTTTTGTTAGCCAGAGCAAAAGCAAATCATGGTCTTTGGACTTTACCTGCACAACTTCATAACCAAGTAACTGAAGATGTCTCTGTTTAATAGCTTCTTCTCCCAGCAGATTGTGGCTATTAGCACAAAATCTATTTTGACCATCAACACAGAGGGCAATTCTAAAATCAAACGTAAGTATGGTATATAAAAATAGAAATTAGTTATTTTAATCACCACAACTTCTGCAGTTCCTAAGAAACATGAGACAACACCTCCCTTCTTCCTTATACCTCCTAGAATCAGATTTTGTGGCATGGGAGTTACCTAGTTCAGGACAATTTAAATCACTCAGTTTAAGGGTGGGAGGTGACAGCCTGAAGCTTAGCGGAACTGATCTGAAAAGCTTTTATATTTGCTCTGAACAAAAATTACCATACAAGTTAATAAGACTTTGATATTTTTGATGCTACTATTAGTAAGCCGTTTTGATTCTTTTAGAAGGAAAAGCACACAAAATACTTGTCTCAGCTTGAAAACATTTCAGCATCTAAATTTATTCAACTTACTAGTTTACCTGTTAAATCCATTAGAGTTAAAAAAATTTAGCTTAAACTTAACTTCAAGTTAAACTCATATGTATTCTTGGCAGCATCATGGATTATTAACTATATTTTTTCCCCTTAGTGATAAAATTCCCATCAACTTACACCAAAATTTGTATATCTACTGTTAAAAAGTTGCTCAAAGGTTTCTCGAAACAACCCTTGCTTAACATGTCTTTTAAACACCTGTACATTTGTCAATTAAAAAACCAGCATCTGTAGCAAATACTCTCATTATACAGGATTCTTTACAGAAGTAAATTTGTGAACTCAAACTGGCTAAAACTGTGTCAAATCTATGCAAATACACTGGATTAGAATTTAGTTTTAATTTGAAGATGAATTACAGAAGATCAAAATACATTAAGCCAAATTAGGATCACTTGATCGTGACTGTCATGGGGTAAAGAGACTAATTGTCTGACACTGTCTAGTCAGGTGGCAAAACAACAAGCAAAAAGCACAGATTGTTAATTTTGCCCTTTTGTCAGTGGTTTCAGTATGAAATCTGAGTTTTGTTGAAGTCAATGGTGAAACTCCAAATAGGTTAAATTTTGCTAGTGTGCCACCCTGGATGTTCTTTGTCAGTGTTAACCAACATTTAAGCAGTTTATTCTCCTACCGTCTGTGCACCTCTTCACATTGGGTCGCAGGCAACACAAAACCTCCTTCGTCTAACTTAATCTCAATATCTGGTATAGATGAAAAAGAGAAATTGCATTACAACTCATTTCATATAACAATCTGTTCGAGTCTCATCCTCTCCCAGTTCATTGTTTTATAAAACAACTAAAATACTACCACGATTCCTTTTTTCTGAATCACAGAGGCTTGCAAATTATGTGCAGAGAGTTAACACAAATGAGTGACTGATTTGCGACACTTCAGCCTTTCATAATGCTAACCAGCAAAGTAGTATTCCAAGCCCACTAAAACCCATTATGTAGTTAAATGGCACTTGGCTGGGCTGGGTAGGGCCCCTGGAATTCTGAGGGCTTTGGGGCGAGACAATCTCTCTCTGCCTCACCCTTTATTTTTTTCTCACTAGTTCCTAACTTTATAGACCATGTCAATTTGCAAACAGAGTTTTGGACCCAAACCCTGCCAACTTCAACACCCACGTGGAAGCTGAAATGCAGAGTAATTCTGGAATCATCCCTCTCTCTTATTTTTTTGAAAATCCCTCTCATGTCCATGGTATCCAAGACCTCCTGAGCACACATCTTTCTTCATTGTTACCTTCTCTGTTTCCTTCCCTGCTGCACCAAACACACTGTTCTGCTCACTCCTCTCTTTCAGCACACAAAGCCCCACTGATTATATATAGTCAATAGCTCTTACTGAAGGGAGAGAAGCCCAGTTGAGCAGTTCTCTCTTTCTCTACTCACCACTAAAGCAGGGAGATCAGGCAAGTGGCAGTGCCTCATTTTGCTTTACATTATGCAAAATTGTTTAAAGGATAAGGAGCTGATAGTAAAAATACAGAATACAAGAGCTAGAAGCTATTTTGCAGTAAATTCCAAGTAACACTGCAGTTCTTTTCTCTCTTCTGACTTAAAAAAATGGATTTACTCAAAGTTCCCATGTTTCCCCATTTCAGGCCTGCTACAAGGTTTTGTATTCCAATTTACTTTTTCTGTATTTGCAGCATTTAGAATGCCCACAAAATGATTTAAAATTTTGGCAGCGTAAGCACACATTTAGCTATTAATCTATAGAAATGTTACTTACCAACTGTATAGAAATATGGTGTTGATACCTTTGATGCAAAATATATTCTTTTTTTCAGTAAATAAATTAATCCAGTCTTCACCCTTTTATGGAGGTGAACATCAAGAGAACTGTGAGGTGTGGGAAAGGCCTTTCCTTGATACTTTGGAGGAAGTTTTGGACCCTACATAATGACAGAAAACCAAACAGAACAAAAGAAAAGGGAGATAACACTTTTGCACTTACCTCGTATCAAATGTACATATCAAATGTAGCAAAATGTATCCTGTGCATGCCAAAGCCATGTCTATTGAGACACCTACAGCCCGAGGTATGATAAAAGCTCCCAATCAACCACCAGAACATCCTTGGCAAGCTTCCATGCTTTCATGCTGGACATCATATGCTCATGAGAAATGCACAACTGTTTCCATTCCTCTGCAGTCAGGCCAACATCAAGGTGTGCCCGACCTCTTTTGTGCTCCACAACTTCACAAGCCAAACATAAAAAAGAAACAGTTGTTGGAAAAGTATTTAAAAACACAAAGAAAAAAGCACTTTAACTTAGAACTAGTCAGTTCTGTCAAACATACAAATATATCAAGTCAATCAATCAGGTAGAAATGCTTCATATTTTTTCATCAAGGAGAAAAAAAGCTGTTTTGTCCAATTCTGGTATTTCTATGGGAAAGACAGTCCTCAACTAATTATAAACAGGGCCCTGATGACCTTATAACCTCCTGTTAACATCACTTTTGGTTTCACATGTACTGTACCTCATAAGATGGGCACTCCAGGGTGACAGTCAGAAAGAGCTGAGTTAGCTGGGAGGTAACAACTCTGTTCAAACCAGGAGGCTGAGCTGAAACAACAACATTCAGGCTTTCAAGTGTACCTCCACGCAAGTCTCTTTACACAAGCCATCATGCAGAAGTTAGGAAAGCCCATTCAGTTATATGTGCAGAGAAGCTACTTGTTTGTTACAATTCTTGATAATCGTTTGAATGAACAGGAGGATCAGTGTTAGAAAAGCAAGGAAATAATTTACAAAAATTTCAACATTAAAAATACACGACTAGCAAGATCTTAGTTAAAACTGTCGTATTCTTTCACAAAAAAGTGAGGATCTGAGAGATGCAGGACATTCTATAGAGAAGAGTTAAGTTTGAGTTTAGGTCTTGGACAAATATTCCCTTCCTATAACCTCTTCTTCCCAAGTTATAATCCCAGGATCAAATTGTTTCACTCCTTTTAAATTTTTTAATTTGCAAGCAGTGGATAATACTAAATAATTTCTGTAGATTTGTCTGCTTTGTAAAAATCAACCCTTTAAGGTATTTCATGTTGTTGAAAAAGTAAGTGACCAAAATTTCTAATCACTTTGGAGACTTGACCTCAGTTTTATTAACAGAGCAATCTCAGCTGAGATCTTAAGGAGTCACTTACCTTTCTGGCATAGCTTACATCTAACAATGGCACTAAAAATTCTTTACTATCTGATACAGAGTTACTTTAAATCTTGTGTTGTTCATAAGAGGTTTGTGTCCAAAAGCATTGGAATATGCAACAATTAGAGCCAAGAACAGGCTTTCACATGGGGGATGTCCTAGCAGCCTGTACGGGACAAAGGACAAACATGGGGAAAAGGAGAAGGACACTATTTCTTAGAAAAGGAGAAGGATTACCTGAAATGAATTATTTAAGGGAATTGAAGACTCTGTTTAAGATTGCACAGTGCAATTTTCAAACTCATTTAAACAACATAACATGAAAGACGCCTGCAACTGTGACAAGGAAGCAACATTCTTGGGCCTCCTGTTCACTATTCTCCACTCGCTTAGACCAGGTCATTGTTGATTTGAGATTAAAGTGATAAAAAATGTGTGCTTGACAAGAGACATATCACATAACAGAAAGAAATGTGAACCATCACAAGTGAAACACTGCTCCTTACCTTGAAGCTTTTGCAGAAAATAGGGACTAAATATTTTTGGCAGAAAATTTAGGGGGTAACGTTGAATTAGGACACACGAGTGCAGCAGGTTCAGCAAGGTGTGAGGCTGAAAGCGACTAAGGTGAGTGTGCAGTACACTTTCAAGCTTCCTAAACAAGGAAGGAGCACTCGGAGGCAGATAGTTAAGAGTTCCAAATGGTATAATATACCCAGCAATCTGCTCAGTGGTAAATCTGTCAGCATCAGAAATGAAACCTTCTGCCACCGCATCAAAGATGGGCTTTGATAGGATCATCTTTTTGCAGCAATACTCCATGACTTTGCTGACTGTTTGAGGATGCATGGCAAAGATGGACTTGGGGATGTGTGTTTCCAGTGCCTCTGTAAAAATCTGGTCATGATGTCCAAAGTACAGGAGGGCTTCCAGCACATTCACGAGTTCATCATCTGTGAAATATGGAATATGCTTCACAGAATGTTTATACAGTGCGTTGACTAAGGAAACTGCCTGAGTCTGATCAAGAACCATCAGTGAATTCAGGATTATGCTTGCAAAGTTTGGGCTTAGCTGGGAAACTATGGATAAAGTGACAACGTTCAGCCTGTTCAGCAAGTTCTGGTACTGCTTCCCTTCCCCGACAGCCACCTGCAGTATCTTATAAACCATCACTATTTCCATGGGACTCCACTTCTCAATGTCCTTTTCTTGCAGCTGGTTCACAATTTGTTGCAGTGTCACACAACTTGGGCCTTCCAACTCGAGCAAGCTCTCTGCAAGAGCACACAGACTGTCAGTGTCCAGCTGTCCCCTTCGGAGCCGTTCCTCACTCTCTGAGAGCAAGCTCCCTATCAGTGAGCTCTGAGGGTCCACACGCAGCCTTGTCAAAGCCTGCAGCGCGCTCAGCAGCCCAGTGTTCGACAGCCTGGGGCACTCAAACTCAAACTGGAAGCACAGCGCTCTGAAAACATCATTCTCCAGCACTCCTTCGGGGTCTTTCAGGCCACTGTTGTCCACCTCAACTTCAGAAATCCTCTGCAGAGCCGCCGATGCCATAGTGTCCGACATGACTTTTAGAGAGCGGAGAAAGTAAAAAATCTCTTCTGACGTACAGAGGTTGTTCAACTTCTTGAAAAATAATTGTTCGTCCATCCACGGGTGGTTAGGTTTAGTACAGTTCTCATTATCCCCACAAAGATGCACAGTTTCATTAGCAGGAAGGGACTGCAGCCGCAGCTGTACATGTTTTTTTCTACAAAACATATACTGAGACCTCTCTTTGACACGCAGCATCCTCATGGCTACCGAGCTACAGTTCTGGACCTGGCGCTGCTCACTGACCAAGCTCAACCTTTTGCTTAAGGTGGCCAAGATGGACCTGCTTACTGGTGTGCTGGATGAACAAAACTGGAGACTTTTTTGGCTGATCAAAGCCATGTTCAAATCAAGTCAGCTGTGAAATGATACCTAGAGAAAGAAAAACACATATAAATACACAGCTTGGAAAACTAGTGTCAATAAACACCAGTGTCGCTAAAATGCAGCACAAAAGCTTGGGGTGGCTGGAGATGACGGGGATGATCCTCCTCCCACGAGGGTAACGTGATGAGACCTGTCTGACAGGCAGCAGCACATCCCTGTAAGGACACTCTGGGAGAGACACAGGGCTGCCCGGGGAGTGGTGGATTCACCATCCCTGGA